GGCCAATCAGAGAAAGCTTTGTATTCATTGATCGAATACATCGCTTTTTATGAGTGGCTTGGCACCACTCAGACCGACTTCCTGTGTTCCTGGTCTGAGACAGAAAACTCTTGACTTGCATCGGAAGATAATGCTGTATGTAGCCTCAGTTACATACAGTTTATACAATGCATTTAGCGGCCTCACATGTTAGTGAGAGGCATAGTTTGTTTGGGCCAGCTTGAGCCAACAGAGCTACCGGTATGTAAAGTGTACCAAAAGCTGACGTTCAGCTTTAAGCATTTGCTGTTCCTTTTTTTTGTCTAGGTGTTTAGTGAAAACATTTGAGGGTGTGTTAAAATTTTCTTTATACCAAAGTCAATTTGTAGCCATAGTAAAGTGTTGCATTTGTATGTTAAGGACTATGTCAAAGGTTGCAGCATAATTGAAAAGTTGTAAAAGAATGTGTTTTACTGCTTCATAGCTTTTGGAATATATTTAGTCTCATTATATGACTTTCTCAATAAAGTGGAGGCGATTCAATAAGGCATTTGCAACCTCTTTCTGGAGATGTGGATGTATGTAGCCAGAAGTCTTTCACCAAATTCATGAAACCCATGCAACATTTTCATTGTTAGTACCAACGAGTGCAACAGCGTAGTTTATGCAACTTTTTTTATCGTCTGTTGCTATTGTTGCAACAGATTCATAAAGAAATATCGCCGGATTGGTTTTCAGGAAAGTGGAGGTTAAGACATCCTCCATAATGGAGTCAATTGTGTCACATCTTTAAGACACTTCTGCAACAGATTCATATACACTTTACTGACACATGCATGAATCCTTTACAAGTGGGACCATTTCTTGCTGTACTACGAGATGGAGTTCTAAACGCTATCTGCAGCACACTCTGAATTTCACATTCTGCTGTGTTAGTGATTGTAAAAGTTCTGTTTTTATTTTTTTTGAATATTAGACTCGCCAGCTCTGTGCAATAGTTTTGCTCAGAGTAGCCCTGATCCTCCTGTTCTGGGGTCCCCCGCCGGCACTCCTGGCTCTTCCTGCCTTCTGAGTGCCCCCAGAACAAACCACTTGCTATGGGAGCACTTGTGCGGGTTTAATCCTGAGCTGCACTGTGTGCCCTCCTGTTCTTGAGTGCTCACTTCTGGCTCCTCCTGCTTCCCTGCCAAGTGTCCTCTTGGAAAGCCACTTTCAATGTGGGCACTTTTACAGGCTCGTTCCCTGCCCCCTCATAACTGGCTTTGATTGACGGCAGCGGGAGCCAATGGCCCAGCAAAGCCAATGAGAGGGGCAATACTACTATTAAACATCTTTTACCTTAATGCAAGGAACTTATTAGGGTAAAACATGTTTAGGCTTTAGAATCATTTTAACCATTTAAGTTCCGGAAGGTTTTACCCCCTTTCATGACCAAGCCATTTTTTTGCTATACGCCACTGCGCTACTTTAACTGACAACTGTGTGATCATGCACAGCTTTCTTTTGGTGATATTTTATCACCACTGGGTTTTTAAGTATTTAAAGTAAAAAAAGACCATACATTTTGAAAAGTATATTTTTTACTTTGTGCTATAAAACATATTCAATAATAAAAAAAATGAAACTCAGATTTCTTCATAAATTTAGGCCAAAATGTATCGTGCTACATGTCTTTGGTAAAAAAAAAAAAAAAAATCCCAATAAGTGTATATTGATTGGTTTGCATGAAAGTTATAGCATCTACAAACTATGGGATATATACTGGAATTTATATATATATTTTTTATACTGGTAATGGTGGCAATCAGTGACTGCTAGCCGAACTGTATGACTGGCAGTCTGAGAGTAATGCTATGTGAGCACTGACATCACTAGTGACCAGGGTGGATTTGATTTAAATCACTAGTCAGTAAGGCTTGATTTAAATCCTAGTTTTCTACATAGACTAATTCTTGCTGGTATAACTTTAATATGCAAGTAGATGAAGATTTTTAGAATAACAACTTTTCATATTAGTTTTTTTTATCCCCAGTTTAATAGGTTAATCATTCATATTTGGACAACTTTTCTGTTGTACTTAGGAAGGAGAAAAATAATCATTACCTTAATAATAACAATTTAAATAGATTTATTCAACTGAAACAACAACATTCCAGCATATGTTATTTGCTTAAACAAACATCCATGTTTGTTAACTAATTTGGCTAAACAAAATATATATATTTTAAGAAACTTAGACTGTCAGCCCCTTCCTCCTCACACTTAGTTTCACATTCTTCTTGTGCAGATCTATTCCACTCCAAACAATCAGAAAAATATTGTTTCTATTCTTGAAACTTAGCACTGAAGGGGTTGATTCTGTATTCATAGGTTTGTAGAAGTTAGGATTAAGGTCTTTTTCTTAACTCTGTTCATGTTATAACATTTTTGCTGTGAAGAAGAGGCATGTGGTCTCCGTTGAGTCAAATTCAGTTTTGAGAACTGCAAAAGTAAACCAAGCATCTGTGATAATATCTTGTAGGCAGAGAAACTGCCCAATAATCTTACAAAATCCTCTGAAAGAGCATTACATTGTGAATGGATTCATGGAATTTATTTTCCAAAAAAATTAAACATATACAGCCTTATTCTACATAATTAAAAAACTAATCTTTATTTCATGATGGAATAACCTTTGGATGGTAATATATTTTCCTCAAAAAGCATTTTATTTAAAAAAAATTTGATTTTAAATAAAAAAAATCTGATTTTTTTTTTTTATTTTTTTTAAAAAAATCATTGATTTTTATCCACCCTGCTAGTGACACTAATGAGCAGTGCTAAAAATTTACACTGTCACTGTATTTATTGACACTGGCTGGGATGAGAAGGTGTTAACATCTAGTGCTTTTAATGGGTTAACTGTGTGCCTAGCAAGTGGTAATGTGCTGACTGTGTGGTGCTTTTACTAAGATGTGTGTGTGTTTTTTTTTTTTTTTTTGCTCTACGTTGCGGGGAAACAAAAACCGGCACATCGTCACTGTCAATTGTTTACAAACACAGAGCTCTCGCCTGTCACTCTCCACCAGTTGATGGATCCCAGCCATAACTCATTGGCCGGGACCCGGTGAATGGCATGTGCTGGAGCCAGTGACAGCACAGCTGGGTCGGCTGGCGCTCACGCCCACTACCTGGAAATGCTAAATCATGGATGTATATGTGATTCTGCACAGGCGGCCTGCACTTTAACAGTAAAAATACAGTGCATGGTTGGCAACTGGTTAAACAGTGAAAAATCATATGTGTATAATCTCTCAGAAATATAAAGTGCTTGTGCTTACCAAAATTCATATAAATCAAAGTTCATAGCAGTACTAGTGTTCATTTGAAGCAGAAATGTGCAAAAAATGCACTCTTATAAAGTGCTAATGCTTCATACCTTTTAAAAGTGTATTCATAGTGGCCCAGGATCACTCACCAGTTATGCTTAACCTCTCGTTACACGATGGTCAAACAGGGCTGTGCAGTACTAAGTAGGCAGGCGGTTGGATGGCTTCTTGGTTCCTTTATTATTCCCTCATGGATTCATTAACCACTTGCCCTCCAGAGGATTTACCCCCCATCCTGACCAGACCATTTTTTGCGACACTGCGCTGTTACATTAACAATTACGCGGTCATGCAATGCTGCACCCAAATGAAATTTACGTCCTTTTTTTTCCGATAAATAGAGCTTTCTTTTGGTGGTATTTGATCACCTGTGCATTTATTTTTTGTGCTATAAAATAAAAGACTGGCAATTTTGAGGAAAAAAAAAACAATATTTTTTACTTTTTGCTATTAAACATGTCCAGTAAAAAAAATTTTTAAAAATCTAATTTCGATATGAATTTAGGCCAAAATTTATTCTGCTACATTAATTGGTTTATGTTAAAGTTACAGCATTTACAAATGTCGGTAAATCAGTAATGGCAGTGATCAGCGACTTATAGCAGGACTGCGGTGGGCATTCTTGGGAGAACTGACTTGGTGTCACTGACATCCCCAGTGACACCAATACAGTGATCAGTGCTAATAAAAAGCACTGACACTGTACTAATGGCACTGGGCAGGAAGGGGTTAACATCTGGGGCGATCAAAGGGTTAACTGTGTGTGCTGTTTCACATTATGTGCTGTGCTTGTGTGCTTTACTGTAAGCACACTGCTTTGTATGGCTCTGCTATATACAGTTTTCTCCCCCCGTCGGTGATCACCGGGTGCCGACGAGTAATCACCAGCTAGGACTCAGTGATTGATAGCTGAGGCCACGAATGCAGGCGCAGCTCACGCGCTCTCCCTACCCGGAACCGCAAAATCGTGCGTGCGCACGTGTGTGTGTGTATATATATATATATATATATATATATATATATATATATATATATATATATATTTTGCACACCCATGCTGGCCTGTAGCAGTATTTCTATAGGGCGGACAGCAAGTGGTTAAGTAAAGCTTAAAGAAAAGTTAATAGTGTAACTATGAACACATTGTAACTTTATTAAGCATGTTAAAAACAAGACAAGTGCTTAAAGCAGAACTACACTGCATCTGAGCACCACAGACAAAAAAAGCTGTTTAATTTTTAATATGCAAAGTACACTCCCCCATCCATCCATGTCTCCATGCTTTATTTTGCTGAGAAATCACTGTATAAACCACCCCCTATCATTTCTGGCCAGGGCTACTACTGTATGGCACATCCAGTCCATGTAGACCTCTTCCACGTGTCTAGCAGTGTTACAGTGCCTAACCCCACCAAACAGATTTCATCAAGAGCAGTCCGCAGACTTTGATTTATATAAATTTTGTTAAGTGCCAGCACTTTTTATCACAGAGAGATTATAAAGTTTTGCACCATCTGTTTAATAATCACAGTATTAAATGTGGCTTTATCACTATGGTATACGCTATATTGCCAAAAGTATTGGGCCAGCCCTCCAAACCATTAGATTCAGGTGTCACAATCACCTCCATAGCCACAGGTATATAAAATCAAGCACCTAGGCATGCAAACTGCTTCTACAAACATTTGTGAAATAATCAGTTGCTCTCAGGAGAGAGCTCAGTGAATTCAACGTGGTATCGTGATGGGTTGCCACCTGTGCAATAAGTCCATCCGTGAAAGTACCTTGCTACTAAATATTCCACGGTCAACTGTTGGTGGTATTATAACAAAGTGGAAGCAACTGGGAACAGCAGCAGCTCAGGCACGAAGTGGTAGGCCACGTAAAATGACAGAGCGGGGTCAGTGCGTGCTGAAATGCACAGTGCCGAGAAGTCACCAGCTGTCTGCAGAGTCAATAGCTAAGAACCTCCAAACTTCATGTGGCCTTCAGATTAGCACAACCAACAGTGTGTAGAGAGCTTCATGAAATGGGTTTCCATGGTTGAGCAGCTGCATCCAAGCCTTACATCACCAAGTGTAATGCAAAGGAGGCTGTGGTGTAAAGCACGCCACCACTGGACTCTAGAGCAGTGGAGACATGTTGTCTGGAGTGGATCATGCTTCTCTGCCTGGCAATCTGATGGGCGTGTCTGTGTTTGGCGGTTGCCAGGAGAATGGTACTTACCTGACTGCATTGTGCCAGATGTAAAGTTTGGTGGAGGGGGGATTATGGTGTGGGGTTGTTTTTCAGTGGTTGGGCTTGGCCCCTTAGTTCCAATTAAGTAAGGAGTCAGCATACCTAGACGTTTTTGGACAATTTCATGCTCCCAGCTTTGTGAGAACAGTTTGGGGATGGCCTCTTCCTATTCCAACTTGACCGCGTACCAGTGCACAAAGCAAGGCTCATAAAGACATGGAGGAGCGAATTTTGGGTGGAGGAACTTGACTGGCCTGCACAGAGTCCTGACCTCAACCTGATAGAACACCTTTGGGATGAATTAGAGTGGAGACTGAGCCAGGCCTTCTCGTAGGACAGCAGTGCCTGACCACACAAATGTGTTGCTGGAAGAATGGTCAAACATTCCCATAGACACTCCTAAACCTTGTGGACAGCCTTCCCAGAAGAGTTGAAGCTGTTATAGCTGCAAAGGGGGGGCCAACTCAATATTAAACCCTACGGACTAAGAGTGGGATGCCATTAAAGTTCATGAGTGTGTAATTGCAGGTGTCCCAATACTTTTGGCAATATAGAGCATGTATTTTTTGTAACATAAATGTGCTCGGAGACTGCTTCTGTACCCAGCCCTAAGCAAAGACTTACAAACAGAAAGGAAGCCATCAATTGGTTGCATGGGTGGAAAGGGCTTAATAGATTACCAAATGAACCACGCAGATATATTGTATTTTCTTTATTTATAAATTACTAAAAACATATCCATCAGGCCATCTGATTTGATCCATATTGCATCTCTATAAACACATTTCTTGCAGTGTTGTTCAAAACCCTTATCATGGCTTGTATATGCCCCCAGCCCAGGGGGTAATTTTGAAGCTGTTATCAACCCTAAATCAGTTGAGCCCAAAGCCCAACGCGTTTTGTGACTTGCTCTTCCTCAGGGATTAATTCTTGGACCTTTTTAGAAGTACAAAACAAATGAAGCAAAGTGATATCAAGACTGTAAAAGCTATACTTCATTACATTGCTTGCACTACACTAAAGTAATCTTTTTATTGGTTTGATTTGTATTTTATTTAATGCAGTAATAGGATTATGCATTAATTGAGTCATGATGTGAGTTCTGTATTTTCTGAGTGTTGTATGTCCAAGTACAGCTGCTTAGTGTGATAAAATAATTATATGGATTTTTGAATTTTTTTGTTTAGTTTTCAATTTAAGGAGGAGCTCCTGTCTCCTGTGTAAAAATTAAAAGCAGCTACAAAAACTGTAGTTGCTGACTTTAATAAAACAGCCACTTACCTGTCCCACAATCCAGCACTGTGCTCACCCCAGCTGATTTCACCTCCTGTTCTCTGTCTCTAGCTCTGCATCCTAGCTGTGGGCACCCGGGTGTGACAGCTTGTGGCTTCACAGACCAGTGCCCACTGTGCATGCAGTGAACGGTTTTGCAGTATTGTGATCCAGAAGACTGCGGGTTGTTGGTGGTGGTGGGGGGGGGGGGGGGGGGGGGGGGTGGAAGAGGAGAACTTCCGACCTGCTCCTCAAAAGTGCCATTTCACAAACTGGAGCGAGAGAGGAGGCCTTAAAGCGGAACTTACCCTTTTGGGGCGAGCTCTGCTTTAAAGGATAAGTTCACCTTTCATAGCATGTTACACCAATATTCACAGTGTAGCATGTTATGATCAGACCAGCCCCCGCTTTGGAGCTAGCGGGGATCTTCTCCCCCCTTGGTAGCTGTCAAATTTTAAAAAATATGTGGCCGTGCCGGGCTCCGCCCGGCCACATTTCTCATTCACTGTGTTCTGTGAATGCGAAACTAAGAGTCCCGACAGTATTAGCGGCTGTCAGCTTGTAGTTCTCAATTAACTACCATGGTTCTGTGGAGCGTCATGGTAGTTCATTGAGTCTTCCTGTCATTGTATCAGCTTGTTCATACATCCTGTATGGGCAGGGCCCTCTTTAATATTGATTGGACCCTGGGACCCTCATGAAATTTTGCTCTCCACCCTCTTAGACTCAAAATCAGTTTATTTAGCACATCAGGCAGCAATTGCAATTGGTTGCCTGGGGTTACAACATATCATTACAGCTCACTGACTGGTTGGTTGCTAGAGGTTACAGTACACATTATTACGGTTCACTGATTTAGTTGCTAGAAGTTACAGCACATGATTTCTGCTTGGTTGCTAGAGGTTACTGCACAACATTACTGCTCACTGGTTGCTAGTGGTTACTGCACATCATTATTGGTCACTGGTTGCTAGAGGTTACTGCACATTACCGTTCACTGATGAGCTGCTAGAGGTTATTGCACATCATTACTGCTCGCCCATTGGTTGCTAGAGGTTACTGCACATCCTTACAACTCACTGGTTGCTAGAGGTTACTGTACATCATTACCGCTCGCTGATTGGCTGCTAACGTTTTATGCACATCATTATTCCTCATTGATTGGTTGCAAGAGATTACAGCAGATCACTACTGTTCACTGATTGGTTGCTAGAGGTTACTGCACATCATTACCACTCACTGGTTGCTAGAGGTCACTGCACATTATTACTGCTCACTGATTGGTTGCTATTGGTTACTGTGCATCATTACCGCTTATTGATTGCGAGAGATTACAGCTCATTGATTGGTTGCTGAAGGTTACAGCACATTATCTCACTGCCTGCACACCATGGACTTGGAAGGTGAGGGGACTCACTAATAGATAGAAAACGCCTAGGGGTTCTAGGTCTCCTGGAATCGGTGGCAGTGCTGGGGGTTGACGGGATCAGTGGTAGTTCTGGGGGGTTGATGGGATCAGCAGTAGTGGTGGAGGGGATTGGATCAGCAGTGTGTGGAAGGGGGTTGGGATTAGCAGTGGTGGGGATGGGTTCAGCAGCAGTAGTGGGGGGGGGGGGGGATGGGATGAGCGGCAGTGGTGGGGGGGGGGGATGGGATGAGTGACCGTGCTGGTGGGAGATGGGATCAGTGGTAGTACACGGGGTGAATGAGATCAGTGGCAGTGCTGGATGGGGATGGGAGGTAACATTTCTACAACAACCACCAATGTAAGAGGGGATTTACACTTACCACCAATGTAATGGGAAATTTACACTGACGACCAATATCATGAAAAATTTATACTGACAACAACCAATGTAATGGGGATTTTACACCAACAACCTATGAATTGCTACACTGGCCACCAATGTAAGGGGGAATTTACACTGACCACTAATTTAAGGGAGGCTTCTACATGGACCACCAGTGTAAAGGAGGATTTGAAACTGACCACAATTGCAAGTTAGGGTTTTTTTTTTACTAACTACCAATATAAAGAGTAGTTTCTACAGTGGCCACCAATGTAATGGGGATTTACACTTGCCACTGATTTAATAGGACTATTCACAGTGACCACTAGTGTGAATGAAAGGATTCTATACCAAGCCCCAATGTAATGAAAAGATATGCACTGACCACCAATGTAATTGAGACATTTAACCTATGTTCACATTTGTGCGTGTTGGGAACGCATGCAAAATCGCTTTCCTGACACCACAGAAATGTGCTGCCCTTTGGCAGATTCACAGCTGTGCCATTAATTGTTAATTACACACTTATATATCTGCTGATGTGCACGTTTCCACATGCACCATAACTCTTGGCGCAGAGACGCCGAGGACTTACAAGCATGCCCGTTTACCTGCCCAGTGGGCAGCATTCAGCACAGGTGATGCTGGCTGGAACCTCAGGGGGCATAATATACATATCAATGCAGATGGCCTGCCTCTATTGACATGTAAATGCAGGTTATTTACATGTGAATGCTGACACTATTTGCATGTGGGTCATGGCAATAGGGCAGAACTGGGCAGCATAAGTAACAGCACTTCACACTGAGATATCGAGACACAGCACGGGACAAAGACTTCAAGGGACAAGGGATTGTAAACTGGGACAGTGTGGGGTGGCTGCTTTGGGCCCCACAACAATGACTGGGCCCAATGCAGCTGCTCCTTTTGCCCCTCTGTAAAGATGGCCCTGCGTATGGGCAAGCAGATATACTGACAGATCTGCAGGAGACCTGCATGGCACCAGTGATCTTTTGATTGCTGGTACAATGGTTTATAGGCTCCTGCAACAAAAAAATAATAAATGCACTTTTTTTTTTTATCAGCAAAAAAAATGTGCATTTATTTTTTGTATAAAGGTAAACTTATCCTTTAAGCTTTGATAATAGAACATGGAAGCTGTTTGGTTTCTGTGCAGAGCTGCACCAGTTTTTGCAGGCTCCAATTTTTTAGTAAATCAACCTCGTTGTGATCCTCATGTTACAACCAATATGTCATTGCTGGAAAAGCTTATAGTAACCAGGGATAAGTAAAGTGTTAGAATGCAGTGGAAATGTATCTAGTGGTTAGAATTGCAGATTATGTCTACCAGATATACTGGGTGGTATTTGACACCTAAGGCCCCTTGCACACTGGGCACAGCAAGCATCCCAGTGTTTTTTAATGCACTTGGTAGGCACAGTTGCAGCGTCAAAGTCTATGGCAGGTTGTGGCTGTATGGGGCTGAAGACCTGCTTTCTGGGCATTCATCCCTGAACACATAGGGCCCACTTAAACTCAGTACCCTCTCGATAAAGCTTCCAGCTGCACCTGCTATTGACTTTTGACAGGCTACAGGCAGCAGGGCAGGACACTGCCGTCTGTGCTTCTCAGTGCACTGGGTTGTATGATGTGCAGCTATTTGCCCCTGTGTGCAATGGACCTTAAAGAGCACTTGTAAGTTGGACTGCTAGAAACAAATCACAGGGGGCTTCATGTAAGAAGCAAAAAGAGTAGATGTCAGAGAAGTGATGAGAAAGGGGGCACATAAGTAACAGCTGGATGGGTGATTTGGATGTTGTTTGAACACTTTTGGAGTTTATTTTGATAGCAGGAGTGAGGCAGATGTCCTTTAGATGACTGTTTCCTTTTAGTTTATTTTCTCTTTTGATGCGTTTTCCAAGCACTTAAGCTGTCTACACTTTATA